TATTTTATTTAAAATAGTTTGACCCGCAGCAACGCCCGCGGTGCGCTTAGTTAGTTGTTGTCTGTTAGTTGTTCCAACGCCAACGGTTAGTGGCAGTGTTGCATCAACAAACCATAATCATAATCATAATGATCATTGTCGAACGTGCAGTTGTTATAGCAAACACACGTAGTTTTATAGCAGTCAATTTGTGCATGTTGTTGTTAGTGCATGTCTTAAATACTGTTGGCTTTGTATTTGTATGTATTCATGTTTGTACATACGCACATAGTTCCTGCCGCCACTGCTGTTGTGTAATAATATTTAGATTGCAGCAACAGCGGCAACGCAGGCAATGGCAAAACTAACACTGATCAACGACGATGACAACGACAACAATTTCATAGCCACTCGCCCGATGGTACGTGACCGACATCCGGCCACGGCGAACTCGTGCAAGTGCACACATATACATAAATACAGTGGCGGAAAAGTAAATACTGACACTACATTTTAACAAAAAAACATGTACGTCCGAATTTCAATCTATGTACGAGGGTGAAGAAAACTTTTAAAAGTTTTTTAAAAATTTCAAACTTTTTAGCATTTAAAAAAAAAAAAAATCGGTATGCAGTTTTGTAGCCAATTAAGTTTTAATGCATAAAGTACAAGTTTGAAATAGCTAGGACTAATCGATGATTTTTGGCAATTTTTTGTTTAGCAAACGGTGTCAAGCTTTTTATTTCATATAAAGAATGTATGTGCTAAAATTTTTTTGTATAGACGAAACTGCACGATACCGCCAGCAAAAAAAAAATCAAGCATGGACTACAAAACTGCATACATCAATGTTTTTTTTCTTTGTTTTATGTCTGAATAAAAAGTTGTAAATTTTGAAGATTTGAAATTGGTGCGAATTTTTATACGACTTGTACGAAGTTTGAAATTTTGACTTACAGTTGGAAGCAGAAATTAGTACATGGTGATTTAAATGTTTGCAAAGTTTTTAAAGTTAAAATTTTTTCTAATGTTTTCATAAAAAATAAGGTTCATGCTTTAACCAAAACCATGTAAAACAAACTATCAAACTTTGTACAAAGTTTAGAAAAATTAAAAAAAAATTAGCATTTTTTTTTTTTTTAACTGAATTTTTAGATTTTTTTGGGTATGAAATTTTGTATCTCAGTAAATTTTAGTATAAAAAGGTCAAGTTTTAAGCGACTGCGAAGTCGCGTTCAGTTTTAATATTTTTTTTTTTGCTGACGGCTTTTTGCACTTTTTTCCATACAAGCATGAATTTATTATGGAAGAAAATGCGTAAGACCGTTTGCAAAGAAAAAAAAAAACAAAAAAAACCATCGCCAATTTTTATAAATTGCACTAAATTTGTATCAGCCGTCAGCAAAAAAAAAAAATATTAATCAGAGCAAAAAGCTCACAATTTCAATGATTTTTTTTAGTTTTTCTAAGGTCTGTATAAAGCTTAAAAGTTTGACTTATATGGTTTTGTTTAAAGCGTGAACCATATCTTAATAAAAAAAAATAACAAACAAATTTTAACTATAAAACCCTTGCAAATATTCAACAAAAATTAGCTTGTACTACTTTTTGCTTCCCACTGTATATGTTTTTTTTTTGAAGTTAGCTATACTTTTATAAAAAACTTGCGTCCCTATCCATTTGCCTGCCACCGTGCTTAGAAATAACCACACAATCGCTCGCACGCCCGCGTAGTGTGCATATCATACAACAAGCACCACTATATAACCACATCGCGCACACGCACACATGAATGGTAAACAAAAAGTCAATTTCGCTTCCTAAATGTCAGCTAAAAAGTCAACGCCGGATGTTATGTAAACGAAGTTGACGACATTTTGCAAGGACTCGTCCGAAATGATTTCGGGGCAGAGTATACGTAAAGCCAGGAAGGCGGGATGTACGATTACATTGGCATAGAAGTTCCTCTACATGTACCGAATTGTAAAATACCTAATTTGTGGTAAATTTGTATATTTACGTATGTATGTATGTACATTAAGGTGTCCATGAAAATTTGTTTGGTTGCTTTTAGTGGTTTGTCACGCTGGTGATAAGTGATTAGAAAATTTTATCATTTTGCAATCTTAATCTTAACGTTAATCTTCTTTTTAATTTCGAATTATAGCCCAACGATCCATTCGCTTTTACAATTCATCGATGTTTGAATTTACAGCCAACGGAGCGCAATGAAGTAGCATAGAAAAGGGAAACCCCATTCTGGCACCATGAAACAGAGGGTTCTAAACAGTGATCGGCCTTAAAAAAAATTCTGTGTGGTAGAATCTGGAAAAAAATGTGGTAGATTTCAAAAAAATGTGGTAGATCTCTGAGTTTGAATCAAAATTTGTACAAAAATTAAAAAAGATTCTGCAAGGCTTCTCCTAACTGGCAAACTTTTTAATTAGATGAAAGATTGAAGTTGCTAAGAATTGCGTTGCCAAAACGGCAATTTTTTTCCTTGACAGTTTAAAGCAGTTCCGTCCATATTAAGATATTTTTCGAACACATTTTAAAAGATTTCTGCAACCTTGCGGAGTCTTGCCAGCTTTTCTTTTTATCACATCACGAAGTAGCGAACAAATGTGACACGTTCCAGAAACAGCTAATTGGGATTTGCCGATTTTGACAATTCTCAAGGAAAAGTAAACAACGCCCAGCGTTCGGACTACTGAAACTCGATTCAGGAGTAAATGACTCGAAAAATCGGAGCAAAAACGAAATTTTCGTAGCAGATTAATATTTTTTATTAAATAGTATAGTATTGAAACGGAGTGCTTGTAAATCAGCTTAATCTCTAAATAGTAATCGAACCAAACTTTCCATGAATAAATTTATAATTTTGTGGTAGAAGTCCGATCACTGGTTCTAAACTGATCACTGGAAAATTTTTGGAACCTCTGTACGAACTTATTGACGGTAAACTAAACTTAGTGACAAAAAAAGGAGAGACGTAATGAGTCTCTAATATGGCACCACAATGGGCCTGTGGTGGCCTAAGTGTGTCCTTTTCCAGTGCAGTATGAGGAAAGCAAGGATAACCTAACCAAACCTAGTGATAAAATACTCAGCTAGCCGTGGACATGGCATTCGTACTTACCAGAAGGAGATTTACAATCTCAATTATACCTTACCTAGCAGAGCTCATTTGAGTGGACTCAAAGAGTGAAGAAAAGAGTGAGTACACGCGCAAGTACATAAAACTGTTAGCCATTCGAAAGTCTTTTATACCGATATTGGCTTAAAGAAATCACTTTTGCATGCACATTCCCCTAAGGAATAAGTGGGATTGCATCTGTGATTCGCAGTAGAACAGCAGAACTAGAAATCATGTTTTAGGCTTTCAAATTTCCGACAGAGACGGCCCTATTGAGAAAGTAGCCGATTAGTTCCGCGTCACAGTGACCACGTTATGAAAAATCCACATATAATTATTTGCATAGCAAAGCGTCAAACAGGATCTTGAGGGCCCCAAAATTGGTCTCACAAGTTCTGATCTACCTCTCGGCCAGCTCGGAATCTTGCAACCTCAAACACATGTAAATATACACTCACTTGGTGGTATTGCCAAATTTCAGTATATCGCACAGTGAGAGGCTACCGTACTCTGAAATATTCTGGTTGGCCAATTGTCTTCTTCTTTAGCCTCACTCTTGAAAATGTTCAACTGTCTCCTTTGAGTCTGGTTCCCTGCAGCTGCAGTAAAATCTGTTGAAAGGTATGCCAATCCTTACAAAATTAAGTTTTATAATTTTTTTAGCGTTTCTATCTAAGGTGCTATCCATAATATCATATCAACTATTCATAATACGACAGCTGAGTTGAAGATGGACCTATCTCGGTAGCCGGTTCGAAAATGACATTTTCAATAACGCCATATTTCAGAATTTGGTTGAAGAACGCCCTATTTCAGAATTCGATAAAAAACCGGGCGTTTTTGAACCAAATTCTGAGATGGAGCGCTCTTCAGCCAAATTCTGAAGTTGGGTGTTCTTGAGCCATTTTCTGAGATAGCGTGTTTTCGAACCGGCTACAGAGATATGCCGATCTTCCACTCAGCAGTCGATACACTTTTAGGGTTTTTGTATTGAGATAAGTACTATCGGAGCCGACGCTCTCTGTGACTTAGGACCTTCATAAGTCTCGTGAAGACCACTTCAGCTGAGCAATAAAGCCATATCAAAGGCCTGATATCTATCTCGTGACTTAAAAATATAAAATTCCACCTACACCACTTTAAACGGCCGGTCAAATCTCTGCAAAATAGGCCAATGTGAGCTACAAAATCCACTTGAATACGGCGCAACCGAGATCTCAGACGGTGCAGTCGCATCTAAAAGGCGAATCCCTCTGATGAAAGCGGAACAAACTGCGAGACCTGTAGTGCAAACACCGGACGTTCTGCGCCCTCATTTATTAAGCAAGCCCAGAAAAGAGCGTTTAATGAGCTTGCTTGATAGACGCAGGGTCAGCTTGATAAACTATGGCAGAGCCAAAACTGATGCGCATCATTTGGCTATCTTAAAAATCAGAAAGGAAGTAGGTAAGCTTAATAATAAAGGTGCTAGAGGACATTCAGTTCGATTACTGGTGTGACTCCGTAGCTATGTAACCTTATACAGGCACAAGGTAACTCTGCTAGGCGAACGGCACCCTTTCTCCACCACTCATGACACAAATTGTTTACAAAAAATCAAAACCTATATACTCACCATACCTAAAAGGAGAGACTGGGCCGATACAAGTCATAATATCCGCACCCTTGGCACGGGTTATAGTCGCCCTATAGCCATTTTACTTTTTATACATTCTGGAACACCCTAATGTACATACATATATGGGATATGCTCTTAAATGTACAGCTAGTTTGCCTGCAAGCGCTTTTATAGTAATAGGTAGCATCCTGTTTTGTTCTTATTATTGTTTTTTGTTTTTTTTTTTTACCAGTATGGTGTGTATAAAATAGCTTCCTCGGTACTTACATTGTGCTCGTTCTGACCAAAATTGGCTGACCGAAAAACGCCGGCACGTTCTCATCCATTAGCGAATGTGTTTTGATGAAATTCAGCGTTGGTTCCGGCAGTGTACGTGAATCATTGTGGCAGGAACCAGGACGCGGTTCGGGTACCTGTAATGGCAAAGAATATACTTTAGTTTGTATGTAATGCAGTTAGGAATGTTTGACAAAAGTTGGTGTGTGTGTAGATTTTTGTGATGTTACTGACGATGACTGTGCATTTATTTCTTTTACTTGTCTTATTTTTAATCTTCATTTCGGTGAACGCTTCATATGAAGAAGGCGGGAAAAACACTAATACATACAAACTAAAAAAATAATATCAAAAGCTGTTTCATAATAATGTTGTGTTGCTCATATAACTAAGCAGGTTGTCTGTCAAGAACAAAGATCAACAATATTAACCAATTTCAAACAACGGCCAATGTGGAAGCTAAACATTTACGACTTCAAAATGCTAGCTATTTTGTGGTCATAGAACTGGCTAGCGTAATCATATATGTATACATATAATGGATACCATACCCTTGAGGTAATCGTCATCAGACGCTCTTGGAGGTTAAAGTTACAAGGCAGTATTTATGTTAGCATTTGTGTGAAATTTTCTAGGATAAAACCGGCAGGAAAGAGTTCTAAGCTTAGACAGCTAGAGAGATATAAATACAGTAAGCACTGCGACCGGTGGGTCTATCGTATCCTCAGCTCATCAAAGCACTGTATCTTGCCCTAAAGACTCTACAAATTTCAAAAGAGATCCCGCGCGTAGGGTATGTATGTACTCTTCTATATAATATCCTATGCACCTTTACCCTCTCCTTGAAATGGTCCACACTTCAGGAGGATGTACAGTCATGTTTCTTTGGCGGAGTCACAAAAGCGACAGAACCCTGGGTTATGCAAGCGGCCTCTGTAATAATTTTTAGTCTTTGCTTGAGAAGGTTTATATGAGTAGTCTGTATTGTTCACGGCTAAGGCATATTAGGCTTCGCTATACACCCCAGGAACAATAAGAATTCTACCACGAAAAATTAAGGAACCATAAGTGCCGCCTGACTATAAATTAATCTAAGGATCCCTTCACTTGGATACTTCCTGCGACTAATGGCCAAAACTTACGCCTGCAAGATGTTTGGGAAGGTTCTGAAGAGCACTGAATGCTTCACTCTACGTACGCCTGCTCCAATATCCTCAAGGGTCGTAGAGACATCTTCACAATAAACACACTCCAGGTCGCCTTGATGGACATATCGAGTTTTAGGCCTAGAAGTGAAGTGGTTTTCTTTTGGAAATTCCCCAGATAGCGTCGTCAGATACATTTTTGATTTTGGCTCCAGCTTACGGGTGAACAACTATTTCTCTAAACCTACTCAAACAGCTTTTCCAGTTAGCATGTCTCTACTGTAGGAAGCTCAAACTCTGTTCAGCCCTAATACTAAGCCTGACACTTGAACTCCGGGTGTTCGATGGAGGAACTTGACGACGTTTTCTCCTCTATAGACAAAGGCAACTTAAGAACTCATACCCTTAGGGCTTTGCAAGTATAGAGGGAAAGTTACTCTGGTGGTCAGCCGATTTCTCTAAAGTTAGGCGAAAAGCAGACGACTCTTTAATAAAGTCCATAGAATTTAGTTACCCTCGGAATGCGAACTTCATATAATGAGACTAGGAAACTACAATTCCGAGATGAACAATGCTGAGAGAGGTGCATGGCAAATTTTTTGCAAAAACATCGAAGGATGTTATGAATCCATCATAAGACCTTATTTTCTTGGAACAAATAAAGGTACTAGCGATAAATTGTGCTTTGAAAAACGAAAACTCTATTTTCCATGTGACCCAGCTCAAGAAACAGGCTTTGGTTGGGTGCGTGAGATTGCGGTGGCCTTGAGTGACTTTTTGGATAAGCGTTGCCTTGTTTGGGCGAGCGACTTTGGAGATATCGCACAATTGGCCGGCTTCCATCCTCGCAAGATGTGTACCGGCTTGGTGTATTATATCGACTTGGAGAGTGTTCAGGATGTATATGTGTCCAATTAGTCTAAATAAGTTTTTACTAAAAACACCCCAGAGAGGCTGACTGCACAACATGTGAAAAGCAGAGATGTGTACTTGTGAAGGTACTTTCGAATAGTTGCTTATACTAATGAAGTTGCACTTATCATAAGAGTTCGGTTCCTGCATAATCTGTATGATCTAAACCAGGGATACTAGAACTCTGTAACTAAGTGGTACGCAGACATTGGACTCGCCGTAAATCTTAGTAGAATAAAACTTATTTTGTTCACTAGGACTTCTTTCTTAATTTTGGGCGTTCCGCCTGAATTTTGTGAAAGAGTCCATTGTCTGAGCTTAACTCCGGATAGTAAGCTGCCGCGGAAGCCCTACAATGAACAAAAAGGCATTCGACGCATTAGTAAGAGATGAGGCCTCGCTTTTGTGGATAAAAGTTTGCGCGTATGGAAATTTTCTAAAGGCCACCTGCAGGCTTAAAGGAAATAGGTGCTGTTATGATACAATGTAAGGTGTGACAGAAATTTCTGTAGGCAGACTTGATGCTCTAGGATGGTTAGGTTACGGTGGTTGCCACTCTACACAGACCGGCAGAGAGACCTACTTAGGCCCATTTGACCCATTGTGATGCCACTTTATACGGTCTTTTGTTCCTTTACCTTAGTTTCCCATATGATAGAACCATCGTGTAATATTAACTTATCGTTCATTAAAAATAGCAAGTCTTGGCCTTGCCAGAGCCGGCCAGTGGCAGAGATAGTGTCCTACACTCTCCATCTCCTCCTATAAATATATCTCCAGTGTCTTGTAAATATAAAGACAACTATGCTAACAATGAGGTGGCCGATTTGGCCAGAGCTGTTTTGTAACGGAACAAGTTGGTTCTTTTTCCTCTCGTTCGTTGGCCAATTCAATGAAAATAGAAAATAGAGATCAGTCGCTACATACTCGAAGACAGAGGGACGCCTGTATCGAGCACAGAGTTTTCTGAGCGTAGTTAAGTTACCCCTCGCAAACTCCTCTGCCACGCAGTTGACGGTATTCCACTGTGCGCGGATGCTCATGATGCCCTAGGATAGTACGCCGTTATCATTTTTGTTGACGAGATTCTGCAATGTTGAGTTAAACGCGGCTGAACGCTGGCTTAATCCCAACACTCAACACGGGCAATGTGTGAGTATTGTGGAATAATTACTGAAGGCTCCAAAACTAACACAGAACTAGGATTTGGTGTCTATATCGCTTGGGGAATATGCCTTCGTATTCCAATGTGAGGTATTTGCAATAATCAGGGTCTGTAGTGGCTGCCAAACTGCACTCAAGATATTAACCAGCCCTCTAACTACATATTTTCAAACTGGTTCAGCAACGAAAGACTTGACTAAAGGAAAACATAAACAACTTGTCTTAACCTGAGCGCCATGTCACTCAACAGTATTTACCACGACATCTGACTATTTGGCTAGGGAAGGCTCAGGCCATGTATTCCACGGCCACCACAGCCGCCGCCAGAAACTGGGTTAACATTTCGTTCAACGATGACTGCGAGGCTTCGAGGAGCAGGTGGGAAAACCTCATGTTGGCCTCGATTTCAGAGGGTCTTGATAGATACTGGCATTTTTTGAGCAGACAACTTCTGGTACCATTGACGGGACACTTCTCGTGGCACAAATACATGACCGTGATCGGCAAACATGACAACAAAAGTGTAAAGCGATTGTAACAGAACAGTTTCGGAAGACGCAGAACCTGTTATATCTGGGTTGCTTCCGCTCGATCTCTTGGCAAAGGAAGCGGTTGGAAAAAGAAAAGCTAAGCACGAGGGAAATTAAATTCTCCACTGCTTATTGAGACAAAATAGTGGCAAACGAGGTCGGATAGTGCAACACAAGGCTGCGGAGGTAGATTTGAGTCCTACCTCCACCGTTTTGGGCATCAAAGTAATCCACACTGAGACTACTGTCATCCTGATAAAATTGCACATGCGGAGCACGTCGTCTTTACATGTACTCGGTTCAGCACTCAGAATAGGAAATTTGTTGAACACTACGGCAGCGTAGTTACACGCGGAACACTAATCCCAATGGTAGTGCAAAGCCAATACGCTTTGAAGGATTTTGAAGCCACTTCTGCCTTAGTGATACAGCCACTGCGCAATAGCTAGCAAATGAGGCACAGGAAAGAACAATAAGCGAGGTAAAAAGTAGCCACGTTATATTATCGGGCTCAGGGCAGATAAAAATCCCATTTTTCTTGAAAAGAAAGTCACGGTATGAAGAGCACGAGCCTCTCACCTAATCGAATAAGCAGCAATAAATAACCAATGGGGTGGGTAGGTTTAATACCAAACCAAGGCCAACTGTGGGTGGAATAATGTGAAAAGTAACGGATGCTTTAGTGAGTTAAAATCTCAAACTGAGTTTTGGCTTTCGATGTTTCATCCTCTAAAAAACAAAACACATGACAACCCCTTTTACCTGCCTGCCTTGATGTGGATGAAACGGTGGAATACTTTTTTCTTTCTGACCCACTAGATTTACGTACACACCCATAGTAACTGAGTAAATAAATTTCTGATACTTTCCGATGATACATTATTTTTTTTTTTATTTGGTGTAAGTACGTACTTATATTCACTGTACATATATTCACTAATTGGCCACTTAAATAATCCAAAGTAGTACGACACAAATGTGCTACAGACGCGATTAAGCACATGTTTATGTAGTCGCATTAAAAGTCAATCACGATTAAATGAATTTTAATTTGCGCGCATTTCAGTCAAAAACATACATGAACTCAGACAGTTTGGTTATGCGCAAGTAGGGAAGTGTGCGACTGCGACATCAACTGCGGTTTGTGGCATATCAATAAAAATGAATGGTTAAGCGCTTGCGGATGAGGCCAATTTAATTGAATGTATGCATATATGTAAATACATATACTATATTCAGAAATAAAGCGACGCAGTTGACACAGTCACACATACGATATATACGATGTACATATGGTACATTAGGTTGAATAACTCCCGTTACAAAAATAAACATGGGTACTATTTTTTTCATCGAAATTATAAAATCTATTATATTTAAAGTCCACCGCCAAAATATTTCGAAAAACTTTAAGATTTACGTAAGCTGCACACATTTGAAAATACCTCCAACAATCGATCGAGAGGTCCGAGTTTGAAACCTGGGGCAGCGGATTTTTTTCTTTTATTGTATTAACATTTTTTTTTCTTTAGATATTACTGTTTAAAAAAAATAAAAAAATAAAAATTTAATTTTTTAGTTTTATTTAATTTTTTCTACCTCAATTTAAAATGTCTTTTAATGTTTGGATTTAATTGTTTCAAAGAGTAAGAATATTTTTTTAAATTTCATTTTTAGGAACTTATTTTATTACTTTAATTTTCAAATAATTTTTTTCCCCTTTTTCAGTTTAATTTCGTCTTAATTTTTAGATTTCATTTAAAAAATAATGATATTCTTTTGCAACCTTTTTATACCTTTCATGAGCATGAAATGGTATTATAACTTTGGTCCGATGTTTGTAAGTACCAGAACAAAAAGAGATAGACCCATTAAAATGTATACTTATATGATCAGAACGTCGAGCTGAGTTGATTTAACCATGTCCGTCTGTCCGTCTGTCCGTCTGTCCGTCTGTCCGTCTGTCCGTCTGTTTGTATGCAATCTAGTCTATCAGTTTTCGAGATATCCGTATCAAATTTGGTATGTGGGTGTATTTTTATAATGTATTAATCATTTGTCGGAACCGGAAGAATCGGACCACTATAACATATAGCTCCCATACAACTGATTGTTCAGATATGAGATTTTTCGTTATAACTTCTCCATTTATGCAGCTACGAACATGAAATTTTGCAGTACTTGCACCCATTATCAACAGAATACTTACAGTGAAAATTACAAAGATCGGGTCACTATAACCTATAGCCCCCATACAACTGATTGTTCAGATATAAAATTTTTCGTTATAACTCCTCCATTTATATCGCTAGGAACATGAAATTCCGCACTGTTTTCAATAATTATCAACAGAAAACTTACAGTGAAAATTAAAAAGATCGGGTAACTATAACCTATAGCTCCCATACAACTGATTGTTCAGATATGAGATTTTTCGTTATAATTCATCCATTTATGTAGCTAGGACCATGAAATTTCGCGCTGTTTTCACTCATTATCAACAGAAGACTTACAGTGAATATAACAAAGATCGGGTCACTATAACCTGCAGACCCCATACAACTGATTGTTCAGATATGAGGTCTTTTATCATAACTCCTCCATTTATGCAGCTAGGAACATGAAATTTCGCACCACTTTCACTCATAATTTACAGAATACTTACAGTGAATATAACAAGGATCGGATGACTACAACATATATCTTCCATACATCTGATTGTTCAGATATGGGATTTTACGGTAAAACTCCTTTATTTGAACAGCTAAAACCGATAAATTTCGTAAGATATTTTATAAATAATAATACAAAGTCTACTGAGAAAATCATCAAAATCTATGCTGTATAAGCTTTATCTCCTATAGCACTGATTGTTCAGATACCAGTTTTTGCCATATATCTCCTTTATGTAGGAAACTAAACCCAATAAATTGTGTTACCGGTTTACATACCGATCACAAAGCAGTGAAAATCACTTAGATTGGTGCGATATAAAGTATATCTTCCATACCTCTGATTGTTTAGATGCGATTTTTTATATAAGTATGTAACTCCTCTATCGATGTATGCAGATGTATTCAAAAGCAGTAATCTGTCAAAGTAAAATTTGCCGATGTTCATGAAAGGTATGAAGCCTTCGGCATAGCCGAAGACAGCGCTGCTCTTACTTGTTCTGTTTTTATTTTAAATAGTTTTTCTTTTGTTAATATCATTTTCTTTCAATTTTTAAATTGTATTGTTTTAAAAAAGAAAATAGATTTTTACTTCATTTAACTTTCAGGATCTTATTTTGTTTTTATATTTTCGGTGCCTTTTTTAAATGTCATATAATTTGTATGTATTTAGATGCTATTTTCTTATTTTCTTCGAATTCAATTGTTGGATTTGATTGTTTATTTTTGTTATTTTTTTCAATTTAGTTTCCGTTTAATGTTTACGTGCTATTGTTTTAAAAGAATTGTTTTTCAATTCCAATTAAGTTTTAGGAACTAATCTTATCTTTTTCGTTTTCTAAATAAATTTTTTTCTTTTTTGTTAATTATTGTTTTATTATTTTTAGATTGTATTTAAAAAACAATAATATTTTTTATAATTTCATTTAATTTTTAAAAACTTTTTTTTTATTGTTTTCCTTTTTTTAATTTAATTATTTTTATTTTGTTAACTTTTAATTTTTAGATTTTATTTTAAAATAAAAATATTTTCTTCTTATTTAATTTAATTTTCAGCATATTATTTTATTTGATTTACATTTTTTGTCTTCTTTTAATTAAATTTTTAGATACATATTTTTTATTTAATTATAATTCTAATTAATCTAAATTTTAAATTTTATATTTTATTGTTTTAAGGAGGCATGCAATTTTCATTGTAATTTAATTTAATTAAAAAAATAATTATTTATTTTTTTTTGGTCATTTTAATTATATATGTATGTTTTTTTAATTCAATTCAATTCAATTTAATTCAATTTAAATTGAATTCAGTTTAAAAAAACTGCTAAAAGGCGAGTAGCATAACGTTAAGACCTTCTCGGTAGCAGATCTTCCAATAACTTTTCCGAAAGATGAAAAGGACTGTGGTGAGTTGAGATACAGCTGTCAGAATTGCCCTCTAAGCTTAATAGAAAAAGTCTGCGTAAAAGTATTTAAAACTTTTATCAACGTAATCAAAATAATGATATTTTTTTGAGGTATTTTTAAATCGGCCTAGCTCACGTAAATGCTTATATTTTTTCGAAATATTATGGTGGGTGTCATAAAATCAAATATATTTTGGTAATACACCCTAATGTACATATCAGGGTATGTAAGTGGATCAACAAAAATACTGAAAAGTGTGGCATTTTAATTGCAAAAATAATGAAAAATTTGAGAAAAAATTGTCGGCGTATTTAAAATATCTACATACACACATACAAACCTTGGCATTATTGACAGGCAACCAATTTGAGTTAATGCTGCTCTGCTCCTTAAAGTTGCCCTCGAATGTGTCGGCAATTTTCTGCAAATGGAAAGCAAAATAAAAATATTTGCGCGTAAATATGTATGTAAGTGTGTTTGTATATGAAATTAAATTAAACACGAATTCGGCAAGGCGGAAAATCAATAAAATTGCTAGTAGGGGAAGTAATAGCGAGCGCCCGAAATGTTTACAGACAGAGGAGGCGCTCGCCCCTAAAAGCATAGCATGGGTGGTGAGTGGTAGGGTGTAAGAGAAAGCCAACTTACCTGCAATGAAAATGCACAAACTGCTGAGCCGGGAATTGAATTTGTTGGCGTATTAAAAACGCCATAAATCAATTTGGCGCTTGTGTGGCCATAGTGTCCTTCGACGAGATTGCTGGCCGATTCTGTGTTGGCAACAAAGTAAATTTTACGTTGTTGTTGGTTGTCAAATAGCAGATGGGGTGTGTGTGTACCCCAGTAGTAGTAGTGCCAGAGCCAATATCATCGATGGCGATCGCGAAAGTAAAGAAATAAATAATGAATAAAATGAATTGCATGAATTTAAAAAAAAAAAGTTTTCAATGGTGGCATATTAAAAAAAAAAAATGGTTTTGTAGGCATAAACGCGTGAATTGCTGCCAGTTGCCATTACATAAGCAAAAAAAAAGCTTACAAAAATCTCTAAAATTCTAAACATTAATTTTAATGTCACTGCAAATGTCGTAGGAGGCGGCAATTCACGCACATGGAAAGTGTCGAAAGTGATTACAATAAAAAATTACTCTACGTATAAACATATTTACTTACGTATCTCATTGAAATAGAATGGATATTCGCCTGGTATTGAGCAGTTGAGGCGCGATTTCAGGAATGATGTCCAGCGATTGCGAAAACGATGCGGCCCACCCTTGTCCCATTTGCAGACACGCGCCACGCGTGAGTAAATTGCCTAAATTTGGTGAAATGACAAATTCACAAAATAAAAAGAAAAATTTTTAAAATTATGTGAATCGAAAACGCGAAATGTAAATCATGGTCCAAAATACTATTTACTCTCTACACAAAAGCACTGCCATACGCATTACAATCAGAGTTGAAATGTCGCGATGAAATGTGTGCGTTGGCGTGAACGCAATAAGGGTAGCTGCTGCAGCGCTGCACGGTGTAATGGGTGGGAACAAAAAGTGGCAAAAAAAAAAAGAAATACTTGGAAAAATCACTCCATCACTTTTTTATTAGAAACTATACAAAATTTTCAAAATTTAATTGAAATTTAAATACTACTTATATGGCCTATTCCAAATTTCAATTTCGAGTAAATTTCCCGGATTAAATTAGACACGCACACAAATAATTTAAGTTTTATTAAAATGATTTTTTTTCTGTCAATTTCCATACAAAATTCTAAGAATTAAAATCATTTTTCACTTAAATTGCTTTCGTAAAATTGGCTGTTAGAGCTCGAAATCAAGTTGTGGAAGTTTGTGAAAATCCGTACACTTAATTATACAGTGGTTGACATGGTGATTTTTTTATTTTCAGAATTTTTTTAAGAAAAATTTTTTGATAATTTTTTATTAAAATATTTTTTATTCTTTAACCAAAACCATTGTTTCCAAACCATTTGCAGTTCTACAGCCTATAAAATTTTAGTAAATATGTATAAATAAGTGTAGGTTTAAAGCAGCCTTTAGAAAAAAGAAGATTGCCTCTATGAAAAGTTTCTCGGTGTAAAAGTGACGAAAAAACGAAGAAGATTTCATAGAGATTCCTTATTGATTTTATGTGGAAATTCGTATTGGTTTTATTTATAAGAATATCTTTTAAAAAATCATAAAGAAAATCTGCTAGAATGCATCATTTAAAAAGAAACGCTTCTTAATTTTATGAAATGTTTTCGCGAATTCATTGAAAAGTAGCACTTCTTAATTGTATGCGAATTAATTTAAATTTCACATTACTAAACAGAATAGTATCGGTAAGGCGATCACCGTAGCCGAATAGGTAGAACTGTAAACTGTCATTTATCAGAAGGTCCCGGATTTGAGGACAGGTCAGCGCAGAGTGTTCGTTTTCATAAGTGTAGCATTTATTGAAAAGATAATTCCACATTCTTTGTGAAGAAAACCAATATTGATAAACCCATAATGCAATTTCGATGACTCTCATTTCTTAATAATTCTTTTGAGACAGTAGAATATCGGCTGACTGCCAAAGCCCATGCTTCAACTGAACATTCTTCGACCTATTAAAAAGTGCTCTAGAAAAAAGGAACATAACATTAATTCCAAGAAACCCAAATTGGTACTGCTCACGTGCAAGTGCAAAATGCCATTTGAAATGCATCGGTGCAATTTTTGATAGAAGGCTTGATCGTAACATTAGGGACCTTCTTTAAACGGCCGTAACCACAATGTGCGCCTTAGACGCGGTTGTGGCGAAAAGATGGTAAATGAGGCTGCGTGTAGTACACAACGGTCGTTTGACTGTGTCATTTTTATGAATTCACTGTCTGGATGCCAGAGGATATTAGACAAATCTACGTACAAATAATATTTTCTCTACACTCTGCAAGGTTCTAGACTTTTTCTCAATTTTTTCTTCCTGCAGACTTATAATACCGTGAAATAGTACTATCCTCATACGTGAAAAAAAATGCGCGTTACTAAGGTTCAATGGTAGTAAATCTGCGTTTTTATTGTTTCACTACTCCGCCAGAATCTTTTTTAAAAGACCTTAAAATTTCAGTTAGAACACAGCATTAAAAAGTGTCATAAATATATAAGTTGAATGATATAGACATAAGGGCGTAAATTGAAAGACGAATATCTGGAGAATCTAAAAATATATATTTTTATAACAATTGTTGCAGAAAAACATTTAAACTCCTCAAGGATATTGAAGGACAAAAATTTTAAAACAATTTCACATTCCTTTGCGTGGATTGTTATGAAAAAATGTATATTCCTTAAATCTCCTGGAATTCTTCTTTCATTTGATATCCATATGTCTACGTTACATACTTTTATAGGTTCATGATAATTTTAACCCGTTGACTCGTAATAGAAACCTTGAGCTCCTTAAAAAAAAATTCTGATGTGATGGTGAAAAAATTAAAAATGCAGATTTACTAATCCGTTTGGTTTCTTTTTGGAAGTACTGTATGTATATTGAAAACAGCGCACAGCTGGAGAGCTTTAGGTTCAGACACTCGACAGCGGATTTTAGCGAGTCCAATATTCTGCATTCAAAAAGTTCACCACCAGAATTTCCGAGAGGGGCGAATCGGAAAACTGCTGAGATCTAGACGCAAAATCTTTAGACTTTTTTACTGATGGAACACTGGTTAAAAACAACGTGGGCAGAGGAATTCACTTGAAGGAGCCTTCACTAACTTACCAGTCCACACTGCGCTTTATACGAGCAGGGCAGCAATCGCCGACTTAGATCGAGCTACGATCAACTACCTAAATAATGGAGGAAATCCAATTGAACATATTTATGTACAAATGAAATGACAAATCAGGCCCGCTTCAATGAAATGGCTATACTGCAAACGACTTTTGTCTCGTAGTAGATGCAGCTGCTGAGGCGCGCGTCAGTAAATCTAACCCTAACATATTTTTAATTTTTCGATTCCCAAGCCATTTTATACTTTTAATATTATTTTGCCCCGCATTATGTAGGCTCGTTACACTGTGCGGCGCTATATTGAAACTTGCTACAATAAAAATATGAGCATCATTAACGACGATTGATGCGATTGCGGTTTATGCGGTAAACGTGCAGCGGCTGGAACACAAGTAGAGAGATCGGTAGATTGACAGGCATGATGGGGCACTTTACTGTAAAGCTATAAAGGAATGTAGAGGCGTGGTGAATGGAGAAATATTTGAAAAAGCAATTGTCGTAATGAATTGTTAAAATAAAAAGTTTTTGAAAAATGTGATATATTAAAAGTTAGACTTTAAGTTGCAAAATCTTCAATTGCTTCTGGTGCTTGCGAAAAGAAGCATGCGAAGTGTAAAAAAATCACATTTTTGGGGTAGAGAATACAATTTTTTTTTTAAGTTGAATAAAATGCGGGCTGAGTTGCTGCGCCTTTTTTAGCGACAAGGAAAAACTCAAAGTTAGTTTAGAGATTTTAAAGGAATTTAGTTTTTCGTCAGTCAGTATTTGGTTCAAAAGTCACTGTAAAATTTAATTCAAAATAAAGCAACAGAGTCCAGAAAAATTTCCTTAGTAAATAAAAACTGAACTTGAAGGGGTGATGGGCGATGATTGCAGTGGAAAGCATCTGGATCAAAAAAAAAAAAATTAAAAAAAAATAACGGCATCTGCATTTATTAAGTCAGTTAAATGGCACTAAGGTGTTTAAGGTCTGGTTGCATTTTCAAAGTTTAGTACGGCAACTGGCTTTTGGGATGATAACTGCAATTTGATAACATACCAGACAACGAGGTTGATAGGCATTGAGTCACATTGTAAATTATAATAAATAATTAATAAATTATTAATATCCAAACTTTTCATTAAAATTTGTGTCATTTAATATCCACTGGAAATTTGGAATAAGGCAGAAACTACTTGAAAGCTATAGAGCGAAGCCCATTAGGTTACATTGGAGCGTAAGGCCGAGGCCAAGTAATTAGCGGCAAATCGGTGAGCAGCTGAGTGGCTGAGCCGCTCAAAATTAAAACATATTGTGGCGAATACTGCGGCAACACAAAGCGAACAACGAGAAATAGGCAGAATGTTCGAAGAATGACGTAGAATGTTCCACAAAGAGAAACGTCAAGTTGGATGAACACTGCGAACAGCGAGAGAAAGAGAATGAGCGATAAACTTC